ATAATGAAGTTTTAATTAGCCTATCAATTTCCATGTTTAGCTTAACTCTAAAATGCTTGCAACATCAAGCAGAAAAAAATTCTGCTTTATCAGTTTTTCTTAACTTTCAAGAGTGGGGAGAAATGGGCATTTTCTTTTCTCTGTTGTCACCAGCTCTCTGGTTTTCCTACCTTCTGAAAGAAACTGGGGAACAGAAATCAGCACAGAAAAAGAATCTCATTTGCAGGGTGGCCGAACTGCAGCAGGGCATGTCCAGTTTCCTACCCACTGTGCCTCTAGTCTACCTGTAGTTTACAGAAAACCATAGAACAAAGACTAGAAAGTTATATAGAGTTAGTTGTGGGCTGTAATGCTCATTTCCAGTACTTTAACTCAACTGGACTCAGGCTATCGGCTACTGTTTCTATTCTCTGTTACAGACAAAGATTTATGAATTTTGTTGTTATTACTTGTTTCCTTTTTCCAAGTCCATGCCTTAGAAAAATAGGATATGCATTCCATCTTTGTGTGTGTGTTGCACACGTGTACATATTTTCATTTGTGTGGGTACATATGTGTGCACACAGAGGCCAGAGGTGGATTTCTGGTTAATTCCTTGATAGCTTTATTTACTGAGGCAGGATCTCACACTGAGCCTGGAACTTCATGCTTCGACTACTCTGGCTAAGCCAGATCCCCCTTCACTTCCCCTCTCTGCAGCACTGGGGTTATAGGTGACCACCACACCCACCCAGTTTATAGGTGTGTGCGAGGGATCTAAAGTTTGGTCCTGATGCTGACACATGGCAAATACTTTATCCATTGAGCCATCTCTCTAGCTCTGGGCATCCTACCTTAGGTAGCCCCCATTTGTGAGTAGGTGACAGTCAGGGAAAGGGGTGGAGGGAGCACTCTATGTACAACATATACTGGCACAAAAATGTCCATATATAACAGAGCTATGCACAATGAATATACACGATACATTTCTTAAATCCACAGTTACGAAAGAGAAAGATGGCTAGGGTTTATTGAATGCTGGATTTAAGTTCTCAAGGACTCTGGGCCCAGAAGAGCTCCTCTTACTGCAGGTCCACTCCTTCAATGGGCATAGAATAGATGCCTTTGACTGTTGCCTTTGGGGTTCAAGCTTGGTCTCCTACTCTAACTTTTCAAATTAGAAGCAATGTAGTTTGACAGCCAAAAGGAGGGGTCCTTGGGAGAGAGATCTGTGTTTTAGAACGCCCCTTCCCCTGTCAGAACACCAGCATGGGATCACAATTACAATGTCCCTCCCCCATTTTTGTCCATTCCTTAATCCTGAGTGATTTAGAGTTATATTCTGGACTTGGTATGATAAATCAGGAAATATGCTTACACTAAAAGGAAATATTATTGAGTAGTAGAGGCCAAAGTTAAAAGGTGTCCACTTCAGGTCAGATAATCATGAGCAAGAACCCTTCTGCTAAACCCTTTGGTCTTCAGTTACTTCTGGAAGGGTGATCACATCTGACTCTGATTTTGCTATCTTTGAGACAGGATATAGCTCAAGCTCATGACCCCCCTCATCAGCTTCTGAGGTACAACAATTACAGGTGGGTACCACCCTGAAGCAGCACCACCTTAACAGTGATTGTGAGGTGTATCATTGTTTTATAGACTATGAAAAAGACAACAAAAATAGATGTATAAAGGATCCCCTTAAAAATCTGTGATACCAGCTTTAATGTGATGGCCAATGGAGATGAAACTAACCCTAGCGCTTGATAGTGATGGCAACTTTACAGGATTCAGAATTACCTGGGAGACAAACCTCTGGGCACAACTGTAAGGGAGTGTCTTGACTGGGCTGAGGTGGGCAGACCTATCATCAAAGCAAGCTGAGCACCAGCATTCATCTCTCAGCTCTCTCTACGTCCTACTGCAGACTTGCTGTGACCAGCTGCCACATGCTCCTGCTGCCTTCGCTCCCCACTATGATGGACTGGAGTCTTGAAATGTGACCAGACTGAGCTCTTCTTTGAAGTCTCTGCTGTCAAGCATTTTGTCACAGCCACATGGGAATGAACCGACACATCACCCATTAGATAAGGCTTGGAAGAAAGTCACATCTCTTAATCTTGAAATTGAATAAAGAGGAAAACAGCCAATATTCTTCCCTGATATTTCAACCCAGAATCTTCACTTTTTGGCTTTTTATATATGCAGTCAGTGTGATCACTGACCTGAAGCAGAGAAGGCACGTAGTATCATAGGTGACTAACAGATGTATGTGAACTTACTTTGAAAATGTTACTTTCTTTTATGAGGACAATCGATCTGGAAGTGTTAAATATGAAAAAGCAAACAATAAAAGCCTATGTCTTTAAGTCAGCAATATGTTATTAGAATTTATAGGTGTATGAGTTAACTTAAATGTTGTTTTACAGGGCTTATTTGTGAACTGTGCTCTAGTAAATATAATGCAAAGAAGAATAGAAATAGAATTATAGAATACTAAACTATGTGATCCACTATTGTTATTTTTATGTGGTGTGTGTGTGTGTGTGTGTGTGTGTGTGTGTGTGTGTGTGTGTGTGTTTGCAACTTTGTATATCTATGCCATGAATACCAACATGGATGTCTGAGATTGACACTGGGAATCATCCCCAATTGTTCTTCCACCATATTCCTTGAGATAGGGTTGTTCAGTGATGCTCAGAGCTCATGGAGATGTCCAGTCTCCTTAGCCAGTTTTTTCTAAGGATCCCTAGTTATATCTTGTGGGTCTAGGATGACAGGTGGGCCACCACGCCACCTGGTATTTTCCATGTGGAACTGAGCATCTGAACTCTGGTCCTCCCACTAGGATGGCACGGATGTAACTGATAAGCATCTCCCTAGTCCCCATCACTGTTTTGGGTGTGTCTAAGATAATAAATTAATGTAGTCACCCTTGCAATCAACATGTATGGTAAGCACATCTCAAGAGCTCCCATGTATTTGCAACATGTCTATTCAATTTGGAATATATTTTTATTGGTTATAGATACATTTATTATGGTCTCCTAGTTTTCATAGTTTAATTGAAATAAATGTCTATAGACCTTAAAAGTCAAACACTAAAAACACATTCTAAGGGGCTTTGGGTCATAAGCTTGGCCCTACAGTGCCCTCACTGTCCTACCTATAGGGTACTGTCCCAGAAGTTCTACTTCTCTATAAAGTAGTACTTGATAGCTCTTATTATTATTTTTTTTATATTTGTTCATTTAATTTCTGATGAACTGAAGTTTCTGGGGGGTGGGGAGCCCATGCTTGACTAGGGAGAGATGGAATGTGGTAGGCCAAAGGTCAAGTTATCATGGGTTTTCTTTAGCCCCCTCATTCAGGTAAGAATCTTTCTGGAATATATAAACAGAGCCTCTAGATTCCACCGATTCAAAGCCCGAGTATGCCATGAGACAGCATCTCAGGCATGCAGCAAAGACTCCCTGCTTAGCTGCATCTTACCTACCTCACACTCCCCACAATGTATTTTCAAAGTACCATCATTTGTATCTTCAAATGTTAAGCTATAAGAGCCCTGGGAAGCTGTTGTTATATGAGAGCATGGACAGTGAGGGAATCAGAGTCAATGTCCCCAGGCCATACTCACTTACATTTGGCTCCAGAATTAACAATTTCTATTTCTTTCTGTGGTGAGAGCTATATCTGTTGGGTTTGGTTTGTTTTTGTTGTTTTTGTACTGATACCAAAATATGTGAGCTTCTTATAACTGCCCTTTGTGGCCTGAAGAAAGTATTATGGATTCTTTCCACAGGAAATGAAGTTTGTAATTAGAGTCAAGTTTTCTTATGTATATAGTTGGTACAAAGATATCCCTAATTAGCAAGCATTTTACCTAATCAAATTTTAAGGTCAAATGAGTCTTTTTAGACTATGGATGCTTTATATAGGCCAAATGTAATGATGCTGGGGCTGTGAAACTGCCTGCTGATGCATTAAACTCTGCCCAGGACACATCGGTCATCCCCTGCTTCCCCATCAAAACATCGTCTCAGCTTCCTTTCAAACACGGAGAAGATGAACACTCTTGCATTTTTCCATTGGCTCCTGATACTCAATGATTATTTTATTTTATTTACTTCTTACTGTAATGATATACATTATATAGTACTTGACGACAGCTATGCAATTTAAGAGGTGTTTTCAGACTCTTCTGGAAACACTCAAAACAGCCACAGAAAATAGAAAATGGCTAAAGCATTTGCTGAGAAATCTCCCAGCTTCCTTTCTTTCTTGAAACAGCTCTCTTGATATTCACAGTATGCGATGGCACATGATTATGATGCCTCTTAAATGACAAATGGACAAATCAGGGGCTTGGAATAGAAGTACTAAACCCCCCTGTTGAAATTATGGCTTTGGCACAAAATGTCATTTATTCAGTCATTCAAACATCTCTATCCCATTTCCTCAAGAATGAAAAAAAAACACTACAAAAGCCCAGGACCCTTTTCATTGTCATTTTACAAAAATAAATAACCAAGAGGACTGATTCCCAAGGACTAGCAGGTATACAGCCACAGCTTGCTGCCGGTTAATATGAGGAGGAGAAATGGATGGCTAAGATGAAGTCCCTGGTCAGGAGATGGCTCAGTGGGTAAGAGTGCTTGCTGTACAACCACGGGAGGCCTGAGTTTGAATCCCCAGCACTCGCCATGGCCACACACGCCGGTAATTCTCACACTCAGGGTTGGAAGGGTATGGAGACAAGAGGACTGCTAGGAACTGCTGGTTGACACAGGCTCCTGGGTCCGTGAGAGACTGTGTCTCAAGGGATAAGATGGAGAGTGACAGAGCAGGACACCTGATGCCTCCTCAACTACACGTAAATCCTGTACATACATGGGCATACATGATACCCATCTCCTGAGCAGGGGCTTTATTATTGTTTTTTTTTCATGGCTCCAGAAGTCTGCTTTGGCACCTTCCCGAGGGAGGGCTGCTGCCCAGTCTGAGCAGTTCTCAGAACTCACCTCTCCTTCTCTGGGCCATGGCCTCCCATTCTGGGTGTACTTGCTCTGATTCTGTCTCTTTTTTTGTCCTCCATCAGCGAATTTGCACAGTAAAGGCTCACTGGGGGCTGGAAAGAAAAGAAAGAAAACCACATCAGTAGACATTCCACACAAATAAGTAATTATTCTAGTTGGGCTCAGAGTGGGCCTTTGTTATGAATGTGTTCAAAAGTAACATCTAGGTTCTGGCCTGCTTCCCTCTCAGCCTCACTGCCTGGTGTGCTAGCCGTGGCTGGGCCTCCGAAAAGTACTGGCAGACCTCAAGAGGTTGTAATCTATACTCCTGGGAAAACGCTTGAAGTAGAATGTCCTCTTGTGTTCAAGACGAGGGTCTTCTAGTGTAGTGAGAAACACACGCATCCTCAGCACTCGTGTGTGATTATCTCCCCCTCAAGGTAGCTATATTTTCACTATGCAAACTACAGAATTCGATTTTGAGACATTGTTCGAAATCAGAGCAGCGGGGTGGAGAAGGGATGGAACACAAAATTACACTTAGAAATGTACTTCGTTAGGAGACAGGGCTTGTCAACCACAGTGATTCATGATTTGGGCTTCGAGGTGTGAGAACTCTCATACCAGAGCCAGCGGATAGGGGCATCATGACAGGGGGACTGAAGGGAAAAGAAATGCTCCTGAATGAAGGGGCATTCTGGCTTTTGAACGTTTCCGGGAATGGGTAGAATGGATTATACCATGTGATTTAATTTGGCATAGCCAATGTGCCAAGGAAGCAGGTACTGAGAAGGTCCAGAAACCTTTCTTATAGCATCTAGTATGAGGGGCTGTAAGCCTCTTCACTCTCTGTCCCAGATAGAGGGCTAGAGGGTGTGTGGTGTGTGTGGCCTGATTTCTCTAGGCCCCAGGTCTTGTGGTTGATGAACTAGCATCTTCAGGTGGCAAAATAGAAAGGAGATTCTGGGAGCTGCTTTCCAAGGAGGTAGATATCTTGCTAAATAACAGCCAGCTAATTCTCCATAACGTCACAGATGCTAGAAATGGATCCTCCATGCAAGCTTTTCCCCTGCAGTTTCCCAGTAAAAGTCAATGAAAAGCCAGAAAGTTAGACTGTTGGGATGCCAAGTGAAAATTCTAAGAAACTGTCACCAAGTGTGTCAGGGCGGCTCCCAGGAGGGGATGGCTTCCGCCTCTTTCCTCCTCCTATCTCTAAACTGGTAAGGACTCATCCCCTAAAAGAGTCCTCCCCAAGTCCTCCTCAGCTCAGAGAACTGATGTGGAGAAAGGACCCTGTTTGTCTGCAGAGAAAAGACAGAGCCAGGTCCAAATCCAAGAAGAACAGGCAGAGGTGGAAGGGTGCCTTAACCCTGCCCAGAGAAAGGCTTCCTGCCCCTGTCTTCCCGTATCCTGTTTCCTCCCACAGAAGCAACACTAAACCCTGGAAGGTAGGAATTTGAGACAGAAAAGCATCCTTTATTTTCCTAAGTAAACCTGTTTGTTTGTACTAACCAGCCTCAAGCTATTTGGTAGATGGGGTAGGAGTGTGAATCTTAGATTCTAGTAACCAAATGTTGTGTATGCCTTTATCTGATGAATTACAGTGACTATAGGGGTCTGATCATCTTTAGTAAATACATTTCCTTGAAGAATGTGATCAAAATTAAAATATATTAGAATGTCTCTTCCAACAAAGGCACTGCAAATGTGTTTCTCAAAACCCAACGAAGCAACACTGTGTGTTGATCATTGGTGACTGTCTCCACATCCCTACATGTCTGAAGAGAAAGTCACATTGACCCAGCAAACTTGGTGACTATAATAAGAAGGCTGAGAAGGTTAATTGGCTGGTTATGTGTTGGAATAAACCAAATATTACTTTGTAAGTTTATAATTAACCAAAATAAATCACTTCTTCCCCTTGCCCTCTGAGAACATGAACTCAGCTAAATATTAATTGTATCCCTGGGCATTTTCAAGTTTGAAGACAATTCTAATTGTCTCAAAAATCAATAGTGAAGAAAGAATACAGGCAACCCAGCATCTACTAATAGGCTATCTACAAACATGTGTCTACAAATAAATATTTGAAAATTATTTGGCTTCAAAGAAAAGTGATATTTTGACCTACTCTCTAAGTCTATTCTTAGTTGCAGATATCTACTTTTCAGATTAGAAGGAAAAGAAAACACATGACTCACCACTGGACAAGAATAATGCAAAATAAGATGGGGTTCCTATCCTATAAAGAACACACCCCATCATAGGGTAATTCTCCTTCCACAGTTTTAGTTATTAGAGAGCAAGTGTGGTTCAAAAATACTGAATGCCTGGCATGACAGTGTAGCTCAGCTGGTAGAATCTTTGTGTCACATGTATAAAAGACCCAAGTTCGGTCCCTAGGACTGCACAAACTGGGCAAGGTTCACATGCTTATAATCCTAGCACTCTGCAGGGTGGAGGCAGGTGTACCAGAAGTTCAGCATCATTCTTGGTTATATAATAAGTTTGACGCCTCCCCTGTATATATATAATCACATCTTTTAATTAATTAATCAGCTAATTAATTGATTAATAGAAAATCCCAGAAAAAAATCAACTCATGTTTTATATTGTGATGCTCTGAGAACTTGATGACATCTCACAACCAGCCTACCTCACCCAGAACCTAAGGCATCCTTTCCCTAGCATTTCTTACTGCATATGTTGCTGGGCTGGCAGCTACCTAGCTCCTGGCACTGGCACCAGACCTTCTGTGGGATATTCAGTGCTTATGTGCAGGTTTCCCTTACCTTACCCCATGGCAGCCTTAAGGCAATGGTGGTCATTAGAACTGGCAAAGAGAAGCCATTAGGTTCTTCTCTGTATGGAGCTAAAGGCTCTACAATAAGTGCAGGAAGAAAGCAAACCACACACTGAAGTCATATTGCCTACCATATTTGTTTCCTGTCACCACATGAGTGCAAGACCTGTTGTGTAATAATTTGCTACAAATTGAGATATTCCCATGGGTTCATCTCCCATGTCTGGGAGAAAAGAGATATGGAAGATTTCTGTCCATCCCCAGCAGTTAGAAAGAAATCAATAATTGCTGGGGGTGGGGCGCTACCAGCTGAACTGTACAGAGTAGAGGCAGTCAGACATCCAGCTGCTTGCAAGGTGTACAGAGGCTGGGGGCAACTTTTGCCAGTAGTCTCTTGTGCTCAGCTGGCCTTTTTGGTAATGAAGCTGCCTTTTTTTTTTTTTTTTGGTCATCCAGGCTTCTGTAAGTAGCCTCTTACTCACACTCCTGTTAATAAATACCAGTCAATATTCATTCACTGGTTCACCAAGTTGGTGTGATTGTTCAAACTGTTACTTTGGTCTTTCATGGTTCCCTTTCTGAATGAGTAAATGTGTGTGCCTCTGTGTGTGTTTTGTCTCCATAGAAGTCTCTCACACAACGGTATCATTTCACATCATATAAACTAGAAATGTGGGCACAGTATGATGTTTTCAGTGTGAGGGTGCAATCACATTCATACCAGTTTTATGACAGTATAACATAACTTGTTTTCCATTTTCTTTGTGATTGTTGTTAATATCTTACTATGTGTTGTGGTTTAAATGAGAATGTCCCCCATAGGCTCAGATGTTTGAACACTTGGTCTTCGGTTGGTGGTGCTGTTTGGGGGTGGAATGTGGGGTGATGTTGCCTGGTTGGAGGAAGTATGTCACTGGAGGTAGGCTTTGGGAGTTTAAAGACTCATGCCATTCCCAGCCTGTGCATGCTCCTCCTGCTTCTTGCTTGTTTTTGAAAACATGAGCTTACAGCTTCCTACTCCTGCTGTCCCAACTGCCACTTATCCCTCTAGAACCATAAGTCCAAATAAACTCTTCTAGAAGTTGACTTGGTCATGGTGTTTTACTGTTACAATGGAAAAGTGACTAATACACTGTGGTTAATTTATAAATGAAGATATATGGGATTCATTATAAGGAGCAATTTCAGACATGTACTCAATGTCTGAGGGCATCTCTAAATATAGATAGTACTCTACATAGATCATGGAATCCACAGGATTTTTCATTGTCTGATCCACTGAGCATCTGACTTAGTGACTTTGGTGAAACTGCAAGAATCCTACAGGGGAAAGACTGAACATGCTATCTGCAGACACTTCTTCCTTTGATCATAATGGATATTGATTCACTCCAGAAGAGCAAGCTAAGAGCTAAATGCAATTGCTAATCCCACTATCTGATGAGTGAGAATATTTCCTGTGAGATTTGCAAACTGTGTAGGCCAAGTAAAATCATTCCCTTCCAGAGTCCTCGCTCCCTTGGCATTCTTGAGATTCTGGCCCCATCCACCTGTGAAATGGGATGTAGTGCTCACATGTGATCTTCTCATTGGCACAAGCACAAATTTCTCACAAAGGTACATAAATCTAGAAGCAACTTACATTTTCTGCTTCAAGAAATTGGCCATGTTTCCTACGATAAGAAGTGTCACTGCAGTATGCCTGCTAGGTAAAAATACTTTTCTAGCAACTAAATTCATGTGTATAAATACAACACACATAGTTCTATTTATGTGTTGTAGTTTTCTGTTTGTTTTTTCTTTAAATATTTTAATGTGGTCTCTTGCTGTAACCTAGGCTAGCCTAGAACTTACTCTGTTGTCCAGGATGACTTCAAACTCATGGTAAATCTCTTGTTCACCTCTTTCAAGTGCTGTGATTACAGACAAGAGCCACCAGCTTTGAATCATTTTTAAAACTATCACAATTATTTACTTATTCATTTATTTATTTGTCTGTAGGCATGTGTGTGAGTGTGCATGTGAAAGTCAGAGCACAGTTTGCACTAATGAGCTCTCCCCTTCTACCCTGTGAGCCCCAGGGACTGGACCCAGACTTTACGCTTCACAACAAGTACCTTTCTTTTCCCACTGAGCCAACTTGCTGGGCCACTGACATATTTAAAAAAAAAAAATAAAAACAAATAAAAACCAGTGTCATGGAGTTAACTGACATACAATAAACTGCACATGTTCATATCAGGTGGTTTCCGAGTTTGACATATGTGTGTGCCCATGTGATAATCTCCACAGTCAAGCTAATGAACAAGT